CTCAAGTGTTTGGGGTGGGAATTTCAGCTTACAGGGAGCAGCAAGGGAGAGGGGAGGGAAAGAGGGCGGAAGAAGAGCCACAACATTTTGCGGTAGTTGCGCTGTTGTGCCTTGCAATGAAAAACCACTTTAGATAATTGCAGTGAGGGGAGCAACAGGAAGTGGGGAGGAAAGGATGAAAAGCGGAAGACAATTGGATGAGGAGGAGGAGGAGGAGGAGGGAGAGGAGGAAGAGGAAGAAAGATTGTAATAGCTTAGAAAAGGTTTTGGACCAAATTATCTAACTGGGAATATCATGGCTTTAAATATTTGGAACTGGAACGTGAACGGACTGAACGAAAAGAAGAAACGAAATAACGTGGAACAAACTCTAAAAAAGAAGAACTTAGATATAATTTGTATGCAGGAGACACATGTTGCAAAGAGACACAGAAGAATTTTGATCAATAAGAGACTTGGAAATGAATTCATATCCTCAGACAAGGAGAAAAAGAGGGGCGTGGTATTGTACGTAAAGAGTAAGATCGAAGCCCAGCAAATTTTTAAGGACGAGGAAGGAAGAATTATTGCAATCCAAATTATATGGCAAGGCGAGAAATTAATAATAGTCGGGATCTACGCACCTAATGGAAATAAATCGGACTTCTTCAAGAATCTGGAGGAAAAGCTGTTGGAGTACGCGGACCAGAAGATAATCTTGATGGGGGATATGAATGGGGTGGTGTCATCAGAAATGGACAGATTGAGAAACAATGGGTCGAAAGAAGGGAAATTACCAAAAACTTTCTTTGAAATGGTCAAAAATTGCAATTTAGTGGACACCTGGAGACTAAGACACCCCTTAGAAAAGCAGTTTACCTTCTATTCAGAACCGAATCAGTCAATGTCGAGAATCGACCAAATTTGGATCTCAAACGAACTAACGCCAAGAATTCTAAAAGTGGAAATCCAACCGAGAGTTATTTCAGATCATAGTCCCATTAAACTGGAACTCAAAGGCTTTGAAGAAAGAACATTCAGATGGAGAATGAATGATTATCTTCTGGATGACCAAAGGGTCATACAGGAGGCACAGAAGAAATTGAAAGATTACTTCGAAGACAATTGCAACAAAGGAACGAAAATGTGTACAGTTTGGGATGCAGGCAAGGCGGTAATGAGGGGTTTCTTCATACAGCAGAATTCGCTTAAAAAGAAAAATAGAGAGAAAGAAAAGAAAGGAATTTTAAGACAAATTATGGAAAATGAACAAAAGTTAATTAAGAAACCAAACAATGAAAGAATTAAGCAAAGCATTAAGGTACTCCAATCCCAATTTGCAATGATGATTAACAAAGAGGTGGAATGGAATATTAAAAAATTGAAACAAAAGAATTTCGAATTTGCAAACAAATCAGGAAAATGGCTTGCCTGGCAGACCAAGAAGAGGAAAGAGCAAAATACAATTAATAAAATAGAAGTGGGAGGAGAAGAGATAACTAACCCCAAAGATATTAGGAAAGGATTCTTGGATTTTTATAGACAGCTGTATAAAAGAAAAGAGAAGAATAACAGGAGGAAGATAGAGAGATACCTAAAGGAGAAAGAGGTGCAAAAGATCCCGACAGAAGCTCAGGAAGGGCTGAATACCCCAATCGATTTAGCAGAAATAAAGATGGCAATAAAGAAAATGAAAAATGGGAAAGCCCCAGGACCAGATGGGTTTACATCAAGATATTACAAAGAACTGGAAACAACCCTGTCGTCGCCATTAAGAGAGGTAATGAACAATATACTAAAGGAGAGAGAAATCCCAGGGACGTGGAAGGAAGCATTTATAACCCTTATCCCTAAAGAAGAGGCGAACTTAACCCAAGTTAAAAATTATCGACCAATCTCATTATTAAATACGGATTATAAAATTTTCGCCGGAATAATTGCAGATAGACTGAAAAAGGTTCTACAAGAAATTATCCATGAAGACCAAGCAGGCTTCCTTCCGGGCAGGCAGATGAGAGACAATGCAAGAAATGTAATAAATATTTTAGAATATCTGACTGCCAGGAACGAGAGGGAGGCAATGCTGATGTTCGTGGATGCCGAAAAAGCGTTTGATAACGTATCATGGGATTTTATGTTAGAAAACATTGAACAGAGGGATATGGGGAAGGACTTCTTCAATGGGATAAAGGCAATATACACAGAGCAAAAAGCAAAGTTAATAGTAAATAATGTGATCTCGGAAGAAATACAGATCTCCAAGGGTACGAGGCAGGGTTGCCCACTGTCACCACTTTTATTCATCATGGTTCTTGAGGTACTATTGGATTCAATCAGGAAAAAGGAAAGTATAAAGGGGGTGGCAGTAGGCCGAAATCAATATAAAGTTAAAGCCTTTGCCGACGATTTAGTATTGATGGCGGAGGAACCGCTGGAGACCGCAACAGAGATATTGGAAGAAATCGAAAAATTTGGAGAGGTGGCTGGGTTTATTATAAATAGGAAAAAAACCAAAATTATTGCTAAGAATATGGAAAAAACAAAGATGGAAGCATTGCAACAAAAAACGGGTATAGAAATTGCAAAAAAAGTGAAATACCTGGGAATATGGCTAACCCCAAAGAACATAGATTTGTTCCAAAATAATTATGTGCCGGTGTGGAAGGGAATTAAGAAAGACTTGGAAATATGGAATAGGTTAAAACTGTCCCTCTGGGGAAGAATTTCAATGATCAAGATGTCAGTGCTACCGAAGATGATGTTTCTCTTCCAGATGATACCAATACTAAAAGGAGTGGCGATTTTCAAAGATTGGCAAAGAATGATTTCTAGATATATCTGGCAGGGCAAAAAGCCGAGAATTAAGCATAAATTACTAATTGACGTAAAAGAAAGGGGAGGTTTTGCCCTGCCAGATTTGAAGTTATACTATGAAGCAGCATGTCTTTGCTGGCTAAAAGAATGGATAAAATTAAAAAATACAAAGCTCCTAGATCTGGAAGGATTCGACACGAGGTTTGGATGGCATGCGCATCTTTGGAAAGAAAAGAAGGAAGGTTATAAATCATTTGGAAACCATATTTTTCGTAAATCGATACTGGAAGTATGGTACAGGTACAAAAATATATTGGAAACCGGGGTCCCACATTGGTTATCCCCATTAGAAGTCATAGGTGTTAAGAAAAAAACTTTATAGAGATGGAGATGTCCTTGTTGTAATTTATGGCTTATGCAGAAGCATAATTTCTAGTTCTGAAGAAAGCCCAAGAAACTTGACACTTGAGAATGAAGATTCTGAATTGACAATCTGCTTCCTTTCTTACTGTTCTTTTCAGAAGCAGAGTCTTTACTACCACCCACCATTTCTGCTATTTGTTTATTGGTTTTGTTTTTATGCTTTTTATTTTTGATAGCTTAATGATATTTTAAATTTTATTTACAATTGTAAATTGTAACACATTAGAGGTTTTTTATACTCAGACAACAACATAAACCAGGAAGAGAATTTGGGGGGGGGGGTAGAGCTGTAAGATTTAAAGGCATGTCTGAGGTGTGTGCCCATGTCCCCAGTTTGTTGTTATTAATAATGGTACCACGTTTCAACAGAGTAACTAGGCAGTCCCTGATGATAGGAATTTACAAGCTAAAATTTGCCACAGGGGAGGCAATTCATAGAAACAAGAAAAAATACAAGAAAAATGTGTTCAATTGTTCATTTACATTAGGATGAGGAATTTGTGGCACAGTTTGCATGTAATGCTAAGCAGAAACCATGGCTGAGTGTGAACAAGTACGCAGATAATGCAAAAACTGCAGCCAGCTGTTCTGTTGCCACTTCATTAGCCAAAGCCAAGCCATAGTTTGGCTTAACATTACTGTACATCTGAACCTAGGCTTGTGGTTTCTTTCTCCAAGCAAACCATGAGCTGTAGTCAATGCTTGTTTTTGGCTTACTACGTATGGTTTTAGGGGAGACAAACCACAATCCTGGATTTGGACATGAAACCAAACCACTGCTTAGCTTTGGGTAGTGCAGCAGTAGCAAGACCAGGAGATGAGCAAAGTGACAACAGTCTTTGAGCACCTGCATGCCTACTCATTCATGCTCAGCCATGGTTTGTCTTGGCATTATGCACAAACCATTTGGTTTGATCACAGTTCCCATCATCCTTGACCATTGGCCATGCTGGCTAGGTCTGCTGAGAGCTGGAAACTTGGCCAGTTATATGTTCCAGATGAAGAATAAGGATGTGTATGCTGTTTCAAAGGCTTCATGGAAAATGTCACTTTTGAGGAAAGCTGTGCAAGGAGAGCGGGGCAAGGGTATCCTCGCTCAAGTGTTTGGGGTGGGAATTTCAGCTTACAGGGAGCAGCAAGGGAGAGGGGAGGGAAAGAGGGCGGAAGAAGAGCCACAACATTTTGCGGTAGTTGCGCTGTTGTGCCTTGCAATGAAAAACCACTTTAGATAATTGCAGAGGGATGGAAGGTGCAAGAACTGGCATGGACTCGTGTGTCTGTGAGGAGAGCATGGGCGTAGCCAGTATTTCTGTTAAAGGGGGGAGCAAAAAGTTGTTGAGCTTGTTTTGGGAGATCGCCCAAAAGCTTGTTGAGCTTTTTTTTTTGGGGGGGGGAGATCATGGATAGTAATCCCTCCCTCCCGAAAGAAGGACATTACCGGGGCAGGCTTCTACCTCACCGAATTAATGCTTTTCAATTCATTTTTTAGGATTTAGGGGGAGAGTGGAGGACAGGGAACAAGGGTCGCCTCGCCTCTGGAGCAGTGGGCCAAACTGCATGCTCATAGCGCAGGGGCTGCTCTGGTCTAAGGCGGCTTGTAGTTGTTGTTTTTGGCGCACTTTTGAGGGAGCTCAGAGAAGGAGCGCTCCGCTTCTGTGAGGAACCGTGCGCATGTGTGACAGTGACACGCGCCTATGGCGGGAGGGACGAGGAGGCGGCGGCGGAGAGGCGACCCCAAACTCTTCTTCCGTACATAACGCGGTGGGAGGGGGTGGGGAAGGCCGAGGGGCGTTTCGCCTGGCAGCTCCGCGGCGCCTGCCCCCGCTTTCGGGCGGGAAGGAAGGCGGGTCTGGCGAGGAGCGAGCGAGGGACGGAGCGCAGGAGGCGGGCCCCGCCGAGGCAGGAAGGGCTGTGGCTGGAGCTGGGGCTGTGACGGGGCTGGCAGGGCTGTGCGGGGCCGAGCGAAGGCCCGGAGTCGACGCACGGAAAGGGACGAAGGAGACGAGGGGACTTTGCGCGCACAGCAGCAGCGAGCCGGGAAGCCGAGCCGGGCTGGGCCGCGGCGGCCCAGGTAAGGAGCTGGGGGGAGCCACCGGGGAAGGAAGAAAGCGCGTGCGAAACACACGCGCACGCCGCCCGTTTCACACGTTCACCCCCCTCTTTACGCGGGTGGCGGGGAGAGAGGTGACGTGTGACGGTGGTTTCTTTTTTGGAGTTAAAAGCTCCTGGGAACCGCCGTTTTGTACAGTTCCACACACACATTATGCTAGATTAGGCAGCCTTGCATCGGGAAGTTTTTTTTAATGCTCGGCATTTCGTTGTGCTTTTTATATGTGCTGGAAGCCGCCCAGAGTGGCTGGCGGGGTATGAATAACAAAATTATTATTATATTGTGTTTGTGTTTAAGCAAAGCGTGTCACGTGTACCCCGTGGAACTGCGAATAAACGCGCGCGCCGTGAACCCGTGTCCCTGGCCGTGTTTGTGTGCGCGCTGGGTGGCGTCCGTTCAGATGCGCGTGTTGTTGTAATGTGGGATGGCACATGGGTCTAACAACCCAGCCTCTCCTTGTGGGGTAAATACATTTCGGTAAATAAATACTTGCGGCCGTGTGACACGTGCCGTTGTTGAAACCCACCCCCACCCCCTCCTCTCCCCGCGGCAGTGGGTGGGTGGGTGTGTTTGTGTTGCGAAGAAGATAAGGACTGCAGGGTATTTTGCTACCAGCGGCTATTAAGAAATGGCAGTAAGGGCAAGGATAGTATTAAAAAGTTATGCGTGCATCAGATCCTGCATATATGAGGAGAGAGCGAGAGGTGCAGGGAATGCCTTTCCGTTGCTTCTGTGCAAGGTAGATTTCCTGCGTTTCATTGCTATATAAGAGGTGCTAGGAACTTGAACCCGAGTTGAAATTGTACCGCCTGCCCTGCAGGTCCTCCTTCCTCATCCTTTCAGAGAGACAGCAAAGCACTCTGCGTATGCTCAGAAGTATGATCTTGCTCACAACTGCCATGGTAGATCTTTGCCCTGAAAATAGGTTTCCAGGGTAAGCTCCGATTCAGAATAAAATCCTGGGTATATTGGTTTGCTTTTTTATTATTTAACCAACCCTATATGGCAACTAGCCCGCCTTTAACACAGGCACTTCACATGGATGACCACGACTGCCCAGGGCTGTGTTAGTTTAAGTGGTCTATTTTGCTTTTTTGCTTTCCCTGCTGAGCTGTAAACAGCATGTGCTGGAGGTGGGGGGAGTGTTTACTTTCTAGCAGAAGAAGCAATAAATCTGCCATGCCGTTTCCCCTCCCTGCCGCTTCCCGAACGTTGCTGCACACAGTTTCAAAGCAATGTCATTGGTGCCTGGGCTATCTGCTGCCATGTATTGCTCCATGTTTGCCACAGGTTGTTGATTCTGATAGCATTGCCTTCTGGAGAAAATGTGGGGGTTGGGGGTCTGAGAGTCAAGGTCCTAATTCAAGAAGCCCAAACTCCCTCTGTAGCAGAGCTGTTTTTTCTGGTGGAATGGTTGTCATGGTGCACGTAGACGTTTTCTTTGCCATAATCATGAGATGACTCCACTGGTGAATCAAATGCTTAAACCATGTGCATCATATTGAACCACTCGCAACTTTCCTGACGAAACTAGCTGAACAGAAATTTTCTCTGAAATGCATAACTTTCTCAGTGTCCTTACAAAATTTCTTTTCTATTGGACAACTTCTGTATGTGAGTGTTGAGAGCACTGCACCACATTTCATCCGCTGTAATAATATATATTGAATTTATTTAATTTAGAGCTTTTGTACTCTGCAAAAAAGGCTCCCAGAGTGGCTTACATGTAAACAAAACAAGTTTAACAATCTGAAAAACACACACAACATGTAAGAGATTTTCTCAGCCATGTATCTAATATTTATTTACTTAAACACAAAACTCAAAACAAACTTATAAATTACAACACATTGAAATAAATGTCAATTAAGAAGGACAAATAAAAATAACTTTGCCTGGTGCAGAAAACATAATAATTTTGGGGAGAGAATCCTATGATAAATGAGGCACCACAATTGAAAAGGGTGTCTGCCACTTATCTCAGATGGTGGAGATGCCTAGTGGTGCGAGTCTCCAAAGGTCACCTCAATACATGGACAGGTTGAACCAGGGACAAGCATTACTTCAGGCACCTAGGTCCCAAAATATGCAAGGATGTAAAACAGTTTTGTATTTGAGCCATAAAGGACCTTGACCATTAGGTCCAGTCGTGACCGACTCTGGGGTTGCGGCGCTCATCTCGCTTTATTGGCTAGGGAGCCGGCGTACAGCTTCTGGGTCATGTGGCCAGCATGACTAAGCCGCTTCTGGTGAACCAGAGCAGCGCACGGAAACGCTGTTTACCTTCCTGCCAGAGCGGTACCTATTTATCTACTTGCACTTTGACGTGCTTTCGAACTGCTAGGTTGGCAGGAGCAGGGATTCGAACCGCCGACCTTGTGATCGGCAAGTCCCAGGCTCTGTGGTTTAATCCACAGCGCTAGGCGACCAGAAATTCTATGCAGGTGAGTAAGGGAGCTAGTGGACGAGGGAGAAATTGCTCCATCCCGCTTTTGATACCCTGCTTGGTTTCTTTGCTAGCTGTGAAAGAAGGGAAGTCCTTTTCTATGAGATCAGCATGGAAATACAGAGGGCTGGTGAAGAAGGGTTGGATCATTTTGACCATCCAGCTGTCCATTTCATTGAAGGCTTCATTATTATTATTAATATGTTAAGAAGCTAGAAACCTGCTTTTCCATGGAGAATAGGACTTCCCGTCTTCCATGGCCAGCATGGAAATGCAACATGCTAGTCTTTATTGCAGGCTAGTAAAAGAGTTTGCTGGCTGGTAATTTTTGTTGGGTTACTTCCAAGACTACACTGGTTAGCAGTTCGTTTCCATGCTCAATTCTAATTGCTGTTTTTGACCTTTTACACATCTCAGTATCTCAAGGACTGCTTCTTCTCACATGAACCAACCCAGACCCTGTGTTCAGCATCTGAGGCTCTTCTCTGTGTGCCTCCTGGTGACATGAGAATAGGCCTTTTCAGTTGTGGCTCTTCTAGAATGTTTTCCCCGGGGAGGCATGCTTGGCACCATCACTATCTAGTTTAGATGCCTGTCAAAAAAAACTTTTCGTTGGGTTATTTACAAAACTGAGTTAAGGGAAATCACCAGCACCTTGAATTACACTTGGAAGCAGACTGCATCTAAGGACTGGAATAATATATTCATTTGTAATTAGCAATCTAGTAACTATTCTGAAACAACAGCAGTTTCTGAACAGCTTTTAATGGCAGGCAGTCCTGTGTGCAGTTAATTGCAGTAGCCAATCTATTTAGCAGAGCATAACTAATACAGTACAGCTAAAATAATTGTGGCCAGACTACAAGAACTAATTTATTGGGTTAATTCTGTTGCGTGTGTTTGGCGTTAAAACGGTTATTATGTATTTCTATGGTGCTTTTCTGCGGACAAGTTGTATTTAACTTTGCAGCAGCCTCTTGAGACATGTTTAGGCTGTAAGACAGCTGTAGGCAACCTAAGGCCCGTGGGCCGGATGCGACCCAATCGCCTTCTCAATCTGGCCCGCGGATGGTCCGGGAATCAGTGTGTTTTTACATGAGTAGAATGTGTGCTTTTATTTAAAATGCATCTCTGGGTTATTTGCGGGGCATAGGAATTCATTCATCCCCCCCCAATATAGTCCGGCCCACCACATGGTCTGAGGGACGGTGGACCGGCCCATGGCTGAAAAAGGTTGCTGACCCCTGCTGTAAGAAAATGACACTAATGTTCTGTGGATTGGTTCAGCTCTTGATAGATTCGCAGTAAGGAATGGATTTTGCCTCAGGCCAGATTGCATGGTGACCTTGGAAGTTTCCTCTGCTGTATTCGACTTGACTGCCTCTTGCGAATCACCTTCACCTATTAGCTCTCTGTAAGCTACTACTTAGGGACGCGGGTGGCGCTGTGGGTTAAACCACAGAGCCTAGGATTTGCTGATCAGAAGGTGGGTGGTTCGAATCCCTGCAACGGGATGAGCTCCCGTTGCTTTGTCCCAGCTCCTGCCAACCTAGCAGTTCGAGAGCACATCAAAGTGCAAGTAGATAAATAGGTACCGCTCCGGTGGGAAGGTAAATGGCGTTTCCGTGCGCTGCTCTGGTTCGCCAGAAGTGGCTTAGTCATGCTGGCCACATGACCCAGAAGCTGTCTGCAGACAAACGCCGGCTCCCTTGGTCAATAAAGCCAGATGAGCACCGCAACTCCAGAGTCGGTCACGACTGGACCTAATGGTCAGGGGTCCCTGTAGTGTACTTTCACAGAAGGTTCCTTCCTACATTGAGAAGCAGTGTGGTGTCAAGGCTAGAGCAGTTGGGCTTTGATGTCGAAGCCCAGTTCATGTCTATACTCAGCTGTGAGCCTCCCATCCCAAACAACTGATTGGCGCTATATCTGGTTATCTTACTGGGATGACGCACGCTAGCATAGCTGAAATGTGGCAACAGTCTCTCAAGCTAACCTCCTGGACAGGATTGTTGTAATGATAAGGTGAGGTATCACTTGACATCTACCCTTTTGAGTTCACTTCAGGGAGGGACAAGATGCAAATATGACTAATCATGTATAGGTTATAGATATGCATAGATAATGTGTGGGTATGATAAAAATAAATAACTATCAATAGTTTGATGGGTACGTTGTCTACTCTTCGCTGCATCTTGCATGACAGACAAACAGAGGCAGGAGTGGGTGATGACACTGGGGATTTGCTTTTGTCTCTGCAGCTCTTACTGTTTATTGATATAGAACAAAGGATTTAAATTTACAGAGGGCCAATACTTGCTCCATATCATAGATACTAGGACAGTCTCATCTGGGTACCTGGAATTCTATCCCTAGTTACAGTCCAATTGCATTCTCTTATAAAGCAGAGCACACGCGGCTGAATTGTTCTTTGCCCCCCCCCCAAATATGGGCACTTTCTTCTTTCTGTCATAGTGGTGGGCAGTTTGCTAGTAAAACATGAATGCTTCATGGCAGAACGAGAGTTTTGCACATGAATCCTAAATGTTCCACTGCACTATACAGACAATTCTTACGGCACATTTCTCTTTAGGGCAGATATCAAGCTCTAAAGGCTTTTATACCAGCCGGCTGCTAAGTTGATCCCACCTGTTGTTAAATGGGCAGTTTACAGCTTTTGTTGCTAATTCATTATGAAGTGCAATTGATACGGATTTCACATAGTTGCTTTCGGGTTGAGATTTTGCTGCATGGCAGGCTCAAATTCAACTGATACAGCGTTTGCTATCTCTCTATATACGTGGATAATTCAATCTCCCCACCCCACCCCATATTGCTATCTAAGCATTTAAAAGAGGGCATCCCTTTGTTTATTTCCCCAGGACAGTGGGGCTGTGGAGCAATTACTCTTTTATCTAATGGGCTGTGTGTTTTGGAATTATGTTGTTGTTCAATACAGTGAAGCAAAGGGCAATAGAAATAGCCCAGTTTACACCATGAGAATACTTGGCTGCCTGTGTGGGATAAGCACTTCCTTCAGATCAGGTATCTAGGGTGAATAAACTGTAGTTCTTTACCAGAGTGCAGAATTGTAGGGGGGAAAATAGAAAGTTAGACACCCTGGACATTTGCCTACTGACTGCATTGTGTGGTTTGATTTGTTTGCACGAGACGTATGGAGATGTTTGTTCCACAGGTTCCTTTTTCAGTGCTAACACATGTTCTCGGCTTGAAGCCTTGTAATAGGCTGTTACCTCTACTGCATGGTTGATCTTCTAAATAGCTGGTAGGAGAATAACTTGCTGGTGGATGAGCAGATGACTTCCAGTCCCTTCCCATTTAATGATTTCACAGTTCTAGCATAGAAATGACGTGGGGCTAATACAGTTTTCATGGCTGCTATTGCTTCATTTATATGCCACTTTTCTTAAGCAGCACACAGTGTTAGTTATACAGGGCCATCTTTTCATTATGTTAATAGTATGATTTTTGAAGCCCCCCTAAAGTGTTAGGTAGCTATAACTTGGCCTCATGAAAAAGTCTAGCAGGGTTAGCTTGCCTTGACTTTTGCAGAGAGAAAGGGAGCTCAGCTTGCAATCAGAAGTATTCACAAGGCCAAACTCCATCTGCCTGCTGCCTGCAGGGGCTCTGGGAAATTTGCCATGCTGTATTTGTGTGTGTGTGTGTGTGTGTAGTAATCAAGGAGCTATAGGCATGCTTAATAAATGTATAGCTAAGTTTTATTTAGAGTACACTATGTGCCTACAAGAGTCCACATATTTTTATTTTGTAGTAATTTTGTTTCCTATCTTTTGCAGTGCTTTTCAAGAGCTCCAGTTGAGGGTGAGGAACCAGTGGAGGTAGGTCCTATAGAAATCCAAACTTTAATAATCTACGTTTACATAATTTCTGTTGTGCTGCTTGTGCTTCTCCTGTTGTTGTTTTTTAAAAAAAACCTTCCCCTGGTTTTGTTTCATTCTTTATCCAAGATCTATGCAACACCAAGTGAGAGTAAAGTTTCCCCTAGTGTGGAGTATGACCACATACAGAAATGCAAGACAAGTGGCAAGCCTTTATAAAGTGTTTGACCAAGCACTTATGAAAGCAAAGTAAACCGTAAAACTGTTCTTGCTTATATGCTTGTTGACCCTTTCAAAATAATTCTGATATAAACTAGAAACATTTAGCCAGTGCCACATGTTAGATCAAAGAGCGATGTGAAATCCAGCCCACTATTTCTCCACCTCTTTGGCCTGTAGTCTCAAAATTTTCTGAAATCCTTAGCCTCACCATTCTCTTCCTGCCAACACTGTCCAAGCCCCTCCTATATTTAGGTTGTTCTCTCTTCCTCCTTTTTCTGTGGGCATTGGTCTTCTCCATCTGATCTTCCCTAAAGTTCCTGCTTCTCACCCACTACGTTCTGGAACTTTCCGTCTCAGAAGCTGCACTATTTTCCCTTCCTTGCAGACGCATTCTCATTCTGAGCAGTTAGAATGAGTGAATAGAAACCATCAGCTTACTGAGCAGTGAATGTGGGAAAGTTTGCCCATTTCTTATGTGCAGCAGCACATACAACTGTGGCTGGCTTTGTCTTATTCTGTGGTTGCTGTTGCTCTGCCCTTAGTTACGGACTAGTTCTGTTCTGTTGCCATGGAGTGGAAGGCCTGCCCCTCCATGCATTGCTACCGTGTTTTATCACTATTTATTGGGGAAGTTTAGGGAAGTAGGTAGGTTATTTGTTCTTACAGTCTTAAAACTTTATTCACACTGATAATTGTGTTGTTTCAAAGAGGTCAGTAAGATTTTTCCACCCTCTTTGGAGTGGTTCTCTCTCTCTCTCTCAGGAAAAAACCCACAAACTTTTTACAAAATTTCTGTCTGTGAAGCCCATTGTTGTGTAGCTTTTAATCCTGTGAAACTGCCTATTGAGTGTAACATAACACCTTAAAATCAAGATTAATCACGTATGGATTGTACACATTGCACCCCAGCCCCTTGTCATACAACTCACACAGAACTATGACTTCTGAGATATAACTAAAAGAACCCTCAGATCTGACTTTTATGGGGTTAAATTTGGAACCTCTAATTATGGACAGAAGTAAGACTTTTCTTTCCTGATCCTTTTTAGTTTTTGCCCAGGATATTCCAGCAGTAAACAACCTGCAAATAATGTGAGTAGGAGTATTATTTATGTATTAAAAAGCATTCTTACACAAAACACACAAAACAAAAAGAGATTATTTAAAGATGTGTCACAGAACTAAACATATTTTAAGTATTTCAAAATATATAAACAACACTTGGAAAAAGAATTTTCAAGTCTCAAGGGCAAATTACACACAGTGATAAAGACATAGTTTGGCATTGCATGAATCTTTTTTAAAAAACTTACATATAGCAGCTGTAGGGGGTGATATGGAGGGGTTGATATGGCTCCCAACATTTACCAAGTATTACATAGCAGAGAAAGATTGCTCCTTATTTTGCTTAATACAGACAACCATGAAATGCCATGATAGAAAAACATTTGCTAAATTGTCTGTCCGTAGTGTTCTCTGACATTGCACAAAAACTCAGCAAATGATTCGGGGGACTTGCAGGCTGGAAACAGGTGCTAGACGTGTTTTGGTTTCTCAAATCCATCAATACACACATACATACCTATCTGTTTCATGTGACGGTTTTCTCTTTCAGAGGGCATACTGTATGGCTTCTAACATGGAATGGCCATCCTCCATGTATCTCCATTTCTATCCTTCATAACAGTTTCTGCCAATCTCATCAGGTTTGTTGTATTTCCCAAGGAGTTCACGTGAGGAGAGGAAGCTGGTATTCTTGCAAGTGGAGATGCCAGCCAGGGAGGAGAGTCAGAACATAAAGCATAGTGGGGTATTTTATGAGTGATGAATAATAAAAGGAATAGTGCTGCAAAAAACCTGCTCTTTGGGTGGGAAGCTTTAGTCTTGGCTTTTATCCAGAGATCTCCCTGCTCACATACAGCCCCTAAACATATTTACAAAACTTCTCTGTTAAAAAAAAGTGTGTTCCCCATACTTTTCAGTTTGGGTAGAGCAAACTGAAAATGTTCTTAGGTTTTAGAATTAAAACCTGAAATTTGCCCTCCCCACAGAATCATGTGCTTATTTGAAACCTGGTCTTCCTCTACAGCAAACTGGGGTTGTGTATGATTTTGTAGTCAGCTGTACAAGCTATGAGTCTGGTCCAGGAATAAAGCAGGATGAAGACTGTGTTTCGAGAAACAAAGTGTGGGATGCAACTTGCATACATAGTCCCTAGCAGTAACAGTGGTAGTGCTGCTGTCAGACACCCAGCTCAGTGGCTTGCCAATCTTTCAACTTTGGTGGAGCTGTTTTTACATCGTCCTCTACTGAGGAACCCTTCTAAAGCTTTTCTACAACACAGTTTGAAAACCAATAGCTTAGTCCAACAATTTCAAAGCTAGGACCACTCCTTTAACTGCAGTCTTCAACAATGAGACCCTTTTTTTTAAAGCAACACATGGCTGTTGTTTTGCGTCTTCCTTTAGAGCAGGTTTGATGGATTTCCTTTAGTGGTGAATTTCAACTTCCATTCTGGCCATGCTTGCTGGGGCTAATGGGAGTTGGAGTCCAGCAACATCTGGAAGACCACAGGTTCCCCATATTTGCTTTAGGGTAACCAGATAATGTAGAATGGAAACCAGGACTCCTATCCCTTTAATATTATGCAGAAGAGGGGGGCTTTAAGCAGCTTGTTATGTAGAGATAAGAAAAGTTATCAAAACATCTATACAGCTATACAGGTGCTGTTTTCCTTATTTAAATACCCACCCACCCTCAGATCCTAAAGATAACCCAGATTTGAGAGTGCAGCCAAGAATGTAAATTGGGAAAACAGCACAGAAGAGTTAAATACCCCACAGCTCCACTTCTCTGATGAAATTCTGACACACACCTCTTGAATGTGGTTGCTTTTCAGTAAAAATGCAAATGTTGGGAGATCAAGTTGCAGATGCCCTGCGCAGTGTAGCTTTGCCCTCAGATTTAAAGTTTGCAAAGTTGTTTTACATTCTTTGACACACTCTCATTCATCATTATTGAATTTGATTGGAATTTACAAGTGGAACTTGCAGCAAAAGATGACTCAGAAACTTCAACTGATCCAAAATGCAAACAGCCTGTTTACTGGCTGGCGTTCCATTTAGAACTCGCATAAGCTCTGTGTTAAAACAAACTGAATTGTTTGCAGTTTCTTTCCTTGACCCAATTCAAGGTACCGATACTTACTTTGATGTTTAAAGCCATTCTCCAACTTTTGGAACCTTTTCAGAGTTTGGGTTTTTTTGCTCTTGTGTGTGGCGGGGGGTTCTTTTCCTTTTCTTTTACATTGACTGTTGATTATATGTTTGTGTTCTAGAGTGTCTTAGGTTATTGTTAAGGAAGGACACTTGTGTCTTCCTTAGAACAAATCTTTTTTTTTAAAAAGATATTTATTCAAAATTTTTGACATTTAACACCCAACACATATAAACCCTTCCCCAACAATACAATAAACAAACAAAAAAGAAAAAACATAATAAAACATACAAAAGAAGGGAAAAAATACAACATTAAAATCAGATTCTTAATATTCAAACTTTCTTCGCTTTTTTGGACTTCCTCACGCCTTTCGTTCCTGTTTCCAAATTTATAAAATTCTGAACAGCAAATTATCACCTTGTTTCAATTACTTATTTGTATTTTTCCAATATTATGTCTCTAAATCTAGGTTTATTTACCAAAGGCTTGAATATTCAATTTAGGCATAATATTAACTAAAGAATTAACTTTTTGTCAAATTTCACCTATTCTCAGATTCTTTTCAACTAGCTTGCTGATGCCATATTTATTTTTATTCTTGCATCCTTCTTAACATTCATACAATTTGCAATGTTTTTGTAAATAGTCCTTAAATTTCTTCCAATCCTCTTCCACTGCTTCTTCTCCCAGATCGCGGATTCTGCCAGTCATTTCTGCTATTTGCATATAGTCTATCAGTTGCATTTGCCACTTCCTTAGAACAAATCTTTTGTGCTTGGTACTTAACTGCTTTATTATTGAAAAATTTAATAGAAATCAGGCCATTCACTATGACAGCCCTTAAATTGTGGAATTCTCTTCCCAAAGAGGTGTGTACTTTCTTCACCTTATAGCTGTCGTTGGATGTTGAAGTCATACCCTCACTGTATTTTCTTATTTAAAATTGCATTGGTTTCTTACTTAAATTCTTATATCTCATTTTAAATTGTATCACTGTATTGTTTTAACCTGCCCTGGGACCTTGTGGTGAAAAGCGGGTTAGAAATCCTGTTTACAGTTACTATTATTTATTCCATTTATATCCTGCCCTTCCTCCAGAAGTCCAGGGCAGCAACAGAAAATGCAGTGTGGTGTACTATTGTTGAGGATTCCTGCCATTTCATTCTCCCTGCTCCCAAACAGCCAGTCAGCATTTCGTGCCCATTGTCAAGTTTTGGTTTTATCCCACCTAAAAGTATTTTGTATCTCTACAAACCTTGGGGTTTTTACCAAACTTGCATGGGATGTGCCATAAGCAAATGATATACAGTCTGAACTTTGGAAATGGAAGGAATTATGATGCATAGCGTAGGCAGAGATGGATATGCTTTGCAGTTCTCTTACTGTTGGTTTATATCTTGTAGAGTTGTGCTGCTGTGTATTTCTGGAGAGAGTGGGTGTTACTCAGCCACGTCTTACTCAGAGTAGACCTATTGAAATGAATGAACCTAACTTAGTCTACTCTGAGTGAAACTTAGTGGAATACCACCCATTGTCTATGGGCTGCAGTAAAGATGTGA